TCAGCAGAGGCTTTGTGTTCAAATCCCAGTCCCTCCATGGATGAGTCTGAGGGCCCTGCCCATCTGGGCCTCTTGTTCTCGGGACAGGCAAGGCTACAGGAACAAGTGTGAAAAAAAAAAAATGTGTCATGGCTTGAACTCAATAGGGGTTTATTTTTCATTCAACGTAGTTCAGGATAGATGTTCCTGGTCACCAGGCTTCTCCCCTCCATGTGGTGACTCGGGGATCCAAATTGCTTTCCCCTGTGGCTCTATCCTCCCCTTGAGTCTTGTAGTAGTTTCATTCAGGTAGGCAGAGGGCAAAAGGGTGCAGAGAGGAGGCACACTGCTCTCCTCACCCTTCAAGCCCCACCCAGCCCCACCCAGCCATAGCAGCCATTGCTGCCCACAGTCCGAGAGAGAGAAGTTAGTCTCACAGCCTCACCTAGGTCCCAGGAAAGCTGCACGGAGGTAGCAGCCCCCTACCACCATGCTCCTGAGTTACTGTTTATGGTTGAGTAAGAGGATGTGTGCAATGTACCTAATACCAAGTCTGTAATAAGAGTTCCGGAATGGTCTATTTGGGTTTTTTATTTGTTTCTTTTATCTTTTTTTTTCCCCAAAAACAGTAAAGTTACTGTCTGCTTTGTTTGCAGTTTCAAGCCACAGTCGAGGAAGGAGCCGTGGGAGTTATTGTGAATTTGACAGTTGAGGACAAGGATGATCCCGCCACAGGTGCATGGAGGGCCGCCTACACGATCATCAATGGAAACCCAGGGCAGAGCTTCGAAATCCACACCAACCCTCAAACCAACGAGGGCATGCTCTCCGTGGTCAAAGTAAGGGTCTCCCACCTTCCTACCGCTCCCTCCCACCCCGAGCAGCCAGGGCCAGGAGGGGCTCAGGGAATCAGCGCATTGGGAAGGCCACTGTAAACCCTCCCGCCCTCCTTTTCCTGGATGTGACAAAGGAAAAGGCTCATGGCTTTAGAGTTCGCTTGCATCCTCCACGGCATAAACCGGAAGCCCTAAAACAAGACCATATCACAGGTTAAAAAGTCCAAGTTGAAGTGTCACTAAGAAAACCAAATGTACAGTTTAAATGAGGTTCTTCAAACATTTGCCGATGAATTACCAAACATGGGGCAAGTAGGGGTGTTTAAAGATCTGTGCTCAAAATCCAGACTACCGTGTTCACCCTCATCTTCCTGAGCAGTCTCAGTCATTTGCTTAAAAGCCCACGTGGAATAATTCTCAGTGTGAGACTTTCTGTGACCTTGCTGGCCAGCCTCACGGCCACAGCGGGCTGAGGAGGAAGCGTGACCATACACATGCAGCCCGCGTGTGCCCGTAATCCGGACACGAGAGACGCTGGGTGCTGCTGGATGCTGTCGTGCGGGTGGTCTCAATATTCTAAGGAAGGAATTTTCACGTAGTCCTGCTCTCTCTCAGAAGTTCTGGGGAGAGCTCCCTCCAGGAACTGGGGTCAGAATGTGAGAGGGAGGTGCCAGGTGATCACTGCCCATGTGACACAGCCCTTGTCATGAGCCCCGGAGAGGCAGCTTCCAGTGACAGGTCTGCCCTCCGCAGAGTTCTGGAAGGGGAGGGAACAGGCCCGCAGAGGCTGGGGCTCTCAGTGGGCTCCACTTTCCCAATGGGTAGGCTTCCTTGGCTACAGAACTGGGCCCCAGACTTCCCCTCCCTGTGCTACTGCCACATGCCTCGGTGAGGAGGCTTGTGCTCCCGTCCCTGAGCACACGAAGGCAAAGCCCAGGCAGCCTCTAGACATAGGCCTGGCCAGGCTCTCTGATGGCCTCCGTTGTGCCCGCCATCCAGCACATCCATTAGGAGTGCATTCTGCAGGCGCCAGGATGCCAGGCTGATAGAGCTTCGGTAATAGAGGGAATTTAGGGATGTCATAACTGGCTGAAGGCAGCCACGTGGGAGCAGAGACACGCGGGAGAATGCCATGTGGCGACAGGGAACACGGGAATGCTGCCCTGAGTCAAAACATGGCCAAGCCAGAAGAGGCAAAGCAGGTTCCCCCAGAGATTCAGAGGGAGCACGGCCCTGCTGACCCCTGGATTTCAGCCTCTGGTCACCAGAACCATGGCAGGATACGCGTCTGCTGTTCTAGGCACTTGGTTGTGGAGTTTTCTCCCGGCAGCCCTGGGCACTCATGCATCCACCCAGATACCCCTTTCTGAGCCAGCAGGGGCTCCACCCCCAGGAAGCTCCCTTCTCTGCAGAATTGCTCCCACCAGACAGGAGACCCTGGCCAGGGAAGTCAGCCTCCACTTCTTGGACAGAGTCTGTAGCCAAGACCTGACTGTAGGGTGCGCAAAAGGCCGGCCCCTTTCCTAGAAGTAAGACTATTTCCATGACAACCCTCAACCTCCACCATGCCCCAGAGCACAGGTGAAATGATTCCAGCAGAGACCACCACAGGCCGGGCTCTGTCCCCCGCTCCCTCACTCTCTGCCCCAGGCTCGGCTTCTGGGGGACCAACCTGAGCTGTGCATGCATGCATACACATGCAAACACACAGCACGCGTACCCCATCTGACAAATAAATACACACATCTAACATGTAAACACACATACATATCTAATACATAAGCATCTGCGTACATGGGAATACATATATATGCAACTAACAAATTACATGCATACATATACAACATGTAAAGACACACGTGTACATCTAGCATATAAATACACATGCATGCCTTACATGTAAGCACACACATACATGCAAGTACACATATACAAGTAACACCTAATATATGAATATATATATAATAATCACATACCTGACACATAAATATACATGCATGCATATTAGCATAAACATGTGCATATTTAACATGTAAGTACACACATAAATATATACAAATATAAATGCACATACATGTGTAATGTGTAAATACACATGCATGTTTAACACATACGCACACACATATACAACTAACATATAAATACACATAGACCTGCAACATCAATATATATGTGCACTTATCTAACATAAACACACACATATGTACCTAACAAATGCACGTACATGCATCCTTAGCATGCATACTTAAATGCAATGAGAGAAAAAGGCAGCTTCCACCCTCCCCTCAGGACCCCGTCTCCTCTTTCCCCCTCTGCTCCGCTCATCCTGCTGTAAGTGACTCTGCCACCTGGCAGTCACCTGGCCTCAAACCTGGGCCCAACTTCGGCCTCAGATGAGAGCCCTACTGAGCACAGAAGCTCAGGAAAACCGCCCTGGAGGCATTTTCATTGTGATAGAAAGTCAGCGAGTTAGACGTGGGACTGCACAGCTTCAGTACGCGTTATCAACTTTATTTCCAGAAAGATGGTGTGCTCCTGGGAGCTGGCATGAAAGGACTCCTCCACAGCGCCCAGCTCTGTCCCACTGAGTTTGTCTGGGGAGACTCCTGTGGGGGTTGGGGGAGCAGCTGGTTCTCAAGACCTGGGAGCTCTGTGCCTGAGGCCTGGCTCGCTGTCCCCTGCCTAGCAGGTGGCCATAGAGCCCCCAAGTCATGGTGGTGACTGACACATCCCCCACACATTACCAAGTGCCCTGAGTTGGAGAAGGACCAGCTGGTTAATCTCAGGTGCCTCGGACTCTGGATCCGTTTCCCTTTGTCACACCACACTGGAGGCTGGGCACCTGGGCCAGGTGCTGCTGTTCTCTGAGTGACACCGAGGCCCGAGCCCCAGAACTGCATGGCAAGTGAGCAAGAGACACTACACATGGAACCTTGGCCTGCCTGTCCCACGGGATCTGCCGGATGACGGATGTAGGGTCATCTCCCCATAGCTCGGACCTCGGGGTCTCTCTGCCTGAGCCCCATGGGTGTCAGGTTGTGGAGTTACTGGTTACAGGCAGGAAGCTTTTCAGTGTTAGCACGCCCAAGAGCTGCTTAAAGGACTTCCCAAGGGGGGGACCCAGATGGCTCAGGCTCAAGGCATATGTTGTCACTTGTTTCTCAACCCATAACTAATTTTTCATTTGCTTGATTTTCCCAAATTACACAAGCATTAGCCCATCAGACCCAGCCCTGAGTGCTCTGGCTAGAGCCTTCGTGCAGACCTGCCCGCCCTCTGTGGCCTGCACACCCTCAGGCCCCTCTGTCTGCTTTCCAGCCTCTGGACTACGAGATCTCCGCCTTCCACACCCTGCTGATCAAGGTGGAAAACGAGGACCCACTGGTGCCCGATGTCTCCTACGGCCCCAGCTCCACAGCCACCGTCCACATCACTGTCCTGGATGTGAACGAGGGCCCGGTCTTCTACCCAGACCCCATGACGGTGACGAAGCGGGAGGACATCTCCGCGGGCAGTGTGCTGTTGACAGTGAACGCCACGGACCCTGATTCCCTGCAGCATCAAACCATCAGGTGGGTGAGGCCCCGCGATGGCCGTGGGAGGCAGATGCCAGTTGTCAGGGGCAAAATACCATTCAGTTACACTTGCCACCAACGCAGAGTGGGAGAGGGAGTGTCCTAGTGAAGAGTTTGTGTGACTGATGGCACCAGGGGACCAGGCACTCCCACATCCAGTTCGAGGAGGAGAATGGCTTCAAGACTGTGTCCCCCAGTGACCAACACAGGTTGTCGCCACCGAGCACAGTCCCTGAAGTGAGAGAGAAAGGAGCCATCCTGTGTGGCTTCCCGCGTCTCACAAACCTCACAAACCTGTGCTATTTTGTCGTCCTCACGGCTTCATGAGCGTGGTCTTGGCTAATTCTGGCTGTAAATTCGGAGGGTGGGTAATTTTCTCCAGGCCGCCCAGTGGGTGGTAGGAATCAGGATGGAAACAGGACAGTCTGGCAAGTCCATGCTCCTTCCATCGGCTTGACTCTGAGCTGTCAGAAGGGGAAGGTCCAGGGGTGTTGCCGGGGACTCAGACGTGACCACTGGGCCTGGCTTTGCCCCACAAATAGCAGTCTTCAAAAACGCCTGTCTCATGTCTTAAGCTCTACCCAGTGCCTAGATAGAAGGCATTTCATAAGGAGATTTAACCAAATGGTCACCACCTGTGGTTAATGCCAGCGAATGCAGGATGTCTGGT